TGAAAAAATATAATTGAAAAAATTTGATCTGTGATGAGAACAAGGACTGAGGGAGGGCTGAGTGACGCGAAAAGGCTGCTGCATTTTTACACTTACCTCATCCTCTGCCAGTACAATATCACTTAACTCTACGGCTGCCGTTTAACAAGCAAACCAATCCATTAAAAAAGATTACCAAGCAGAAGCTGTTTTTTTTTTTTTTTTTGAGACACTTATTTTCCTCCGAAACAATTAAATTGCTCCGGCGAAAAAAAAAGAAGTATTTTCTGGAACGATGTGCTCTTTTGCTGCCATTGTTTTTTGCTTTTTAATAGCTTCTTTCGTCGGAGTCAGAGGAAAAAAGCAAAATAATGAAGTAAAAATTTCTGCTTCGTTGCTCGATCATTTTCTAAAATTTAAAAAAAAAAGATACAAAGACGAAGCGGATTATTGGATGGTACCCATACAACATTGAAGAACATAAAGAAGGCTGTCAGTGCGATGGGAGAATATGCTTGAATGCCTAAATGAAATTAGATGAGAGAAGCTCAAAATAGAGAAGAGTGGAAAAGTTGACAGGTGTAATAAATAGCGAGAAAAAACAGGGCGACAAAATGTCTAATAAAATAAGAAAGGCGGAAAGTTCTCAGCCAAAGACATAAATTAGAACACTGGACGAGCATCTTAAGTCAAAAGATACAAATTAAATTTGGAGAGATACAAAACTGAGCCAAAGAAGTACGATCGGTTGGATGCCCTATATTTCAAACAAAAATGCATTAAAATCACTTTTCTGAATGTTTGGAAAACACTGTCAATTCATAGTCTGGTTCTCCAGCTGTGCGCATTTAGCAACTTTTCCATTTTCTTTGACCAATGCTGCATTATTTGGTGGTCAGCCAACTGGTGATCCTAGCGTTTGTTTCATCTTCTGAAAAGAGTGCCAACCCTAAAGCACGTCTGGAAGCGTTGCAGTGTGTTAAAAAGCAAATAATTTGCTCAAAAACATCGAAAAATCACCGATATTTAAGGTACGAAAACAGAAAATTTGATGCCGGTTAAGGTGAAATTACCAATTGAGAGAGTTTTTTTCCCTCAGAGGAAGGAACAGGGGAGGTTTTGGGCCTAGAAGTGAATCAATTGAGGCAAAACGAATACCTCCGAACTAAGATTTTCGCGAATTTTTGCCCATCCTCATTTTTTGCATGGAATTTTGCGCTGCTATAGGAAACTTCGTTTCTTGGACGGAACTTTGTAACGGCATTTGCGCGGCAATTTTTTCATTGTTCTTCAAATCGCCTCAATGGTTTTCTATACGTAAGATGGGCGGTGAGGAGGAGGAAGTGTGCTCCTGGTTTTTGCCGCGGACATATCTGCTGGGTTGAATTGGCCTTCCGGGAGAGGGGGTTTCTCTTGGATGTTTTCTTGGATTTTCATTTTACCGCAATTTACACTCGCTTCGCCCAAATGGGATATGATGCGACGGGGTTCCAGCCCCTGCATAAGTTTTGCGGTGAATTTTTCTATGCAAACGGTTCATGAGTGCGGTAAAATGATGAACATTAGTAAGCTTCCAGGAAATCCTGGTTTTTTGGCTTCGTATCTATTTTTTTGTTAGAAATCGTAAGAATTTCGATTTGCCGGGTGACTTGGTATTATTCCCTGGATCATCAGATCTTCTGGTCATTGGTCATCTTGCTTGGGATTTAGGTTATTGGCTGTGGGTCGCCTGGCTTAGTACTTGCCTGGGGTCATCGGCAATTATTGCGGTGAGGTTTGATGATAATTTCAAAGTACTCATCCCTCATTATGCGTGGAATTGGTGCTGGGAAGTGCAGTTTTGTCCAGCGCCCCGTCTTCCGAATTTAAGCTATTAGATGGGCATATCCACATACATGGACACACACACACACACACACACACACACACACACACACACATAGACACACAGACACACACACACATACATACGCAACACATATGCTTGTACATACATGTACACACATATATACATACGCATATATATGCATACATACACACGTACATAAATACGCACATATACATATATACATACATAAATATATACGTACACACATACATACATACATACGTACACACATACGTACATACATACACACATACATACATACACTCATACAAATTAACATTAAAGCTTACCGCAATAACTACCACACATACATATATGCACTCTCACATATATACACACCCATACGCACAAATATATACATAAATCATTACAAAAAAAAAAATACATACATGCATACATACATACACAGACACACAGACACACACACACACACCTATACAGATACATTTTTTAGTTCATGCGAAAAAATGGCGCTGCCGGATTGCGTGCTTTTTCCGAACAGCAATCGTTAAATCCTGTTTTTTTTTTTCTTAGAAAAAGACTTGTTTCAGTGTCATAGATCACTGGTGGTGTACACTTCAAAAATGTTCGAAGCGAAACTTGCTAGTGCTGCAACACTGAAGAAGATTGTTGATGCGATCAAAGATCTCGTCACCGATGCACCGTTCGATTGCAGCGAAGGGGCCCTATGCTTGCAGGTAATTTTACCCAAATTCATAAATTCAGAGATAATATTGATAATAAAATAGCTAATTTGTGACGAATAGAATAACTGACGCTGATTAGCAGTTATCAAGGGGCGCCAAGATTTCCCGGACAGTCGGTGTGGGTAGTATCCAGTGTTAGTGATGTTACTGGGATGCTTTCGTGTGGCTGAGACGCAGCTGTGCCAGGCCTTTCGATCCTGAAATGCAAATTTCCAGTTGTTACTTGCCTATCAATAGAATCTGATGAAAGATTGGTGGCTGTGCTGACAGTTGGCAGGTTTTGCGTAACAGTAAATGGTAATAATAATAATTATAATTATAGCGGTAATAATAGTAATAATAATAATGATAATAACAATAATAACGATAATAATAACAATGGTGTTTACGAGAAAGTAAATCGTTATAAAATCGTCGATAATGCCATACTTATACTTAGCATACATGGTCGATACAAGCTGGAGGTGTATTGTAACTTGGGAATACCAAAGCCTATTACTGGAAAACCACAACGATGTCTACTTACCGGAACCGGATTTGTTTGAATTAGTCTCCAGGTTCAATTTCCGGTCCTTTTTTGCAGGCAATGGATTCGTCACACGTGGCACTTGTGTCGCTGAAAATGGACGTTGGAATGTTCGAAACATATCGATGCGATCGAACACTAAATTTGGGTCTTAGTTTGGCCGGTATGGCGAGAGCACTGAAATGCGCAAACAACGAGGATACATGCTTGTTGCGATTCGAAGAAAACGATGATTCTGTGATTTTCTTATTCGAAGACTCGAAACGAGTAAGTTACTCAAAACCAGCAAACTATTAATATGGTAGTGGTCAAAAAATGTTTTCTCGTTATGCTCTCAGTGATTTTTGGTGAATCCTGTTTCTCCGCCGAAAATGATGGGGAATTCTACGACGGGAAATCTTCGATAGAAATTCGAAAATATGAAAGTGAAATTTTACCCATCGAAGGCTTATAACCAAAGGTGATGATGACATTTGCAGAGTTATATGAAACAATAATTATTATTTTAACAGTGATGACAATGGTAGTCATTGTTATTTAAGGGGAAAAAACGTTTTTACCGAAAAAAAACTTGAAAAAGGCATGATTAATGAAATGGTATATTTGATAATTGATAGAACGTTTTGTAGGTAAAGTAAAAACAATTCTTGTTAGAAACATACATATTTTAGATATTGTAATAATGATAACAACAATAATGATAATAATGATAATAATAGTAATAATGATGATAAGAATAATAAGAGTGGATGTTTTTTTGAAGCTGCATGTTTCATTCCATTAGGTTGTATAGTAAAGCCCAAAATGTCATAGTTTATAAGCGGGTTTGCATGGAAAATCTTGCGTTTGTTCTGTAGCTTAATACTTTTTGTTTTTTTTTTCAGGATAAAAGTCAGGAAGTTGTCGTAAAAATGATGGATATTGACAGTGAGCATCT